TTTTTGACAGGCTGGAGCTGGATTCTGACATCATTGTAATCAACAGGGATATTCGTCCCCGCCTCTTTGATACGAACTGGTAAAAATCGGTTAGACCATAACATAAATGAAATGGAGAGTTCAGTCCAGGATATACCTGGGTCACGACGTGATGTAGTAGACTCAGGCGTGGGCCATTGCAACATTTGACAAAAAAGTCCGCACTAAACGAGCAACGACTCGGTGAGGTTCCTCTGGCATGGCAAAAAACAGGACAAGGGCAGGGCCAATCACGCAACAGCATAACCTGCTCCTGAAGATAGGGTGTATTACGACCTTGTATCGCATCGGGTGCCTGTTCACGAAGTGATTTAGTTCTCTCCTCTTTATTTATTATGTGTTGTTCTTCAAGTTTTGTCATTCTCGCACAAGACAGATCCAACAAGAACTGATATACGAGTTTGAGAGTTTCGGATTGGGTCTGATAATGCTGTCTGACTTGTGTACAAAGAACAGTAAACTCAGGCAAGTCAATGGCACATGTGCGCACAGCGGCCTCATCTGCAAAATTATTCCCCTGAATATTCAAAGCATCAGCGTAGGACTGCGCATCTGTCAGCTTACGGTGTGATTTGATCTTACATGCATGAAAACGATGCGTCTGCCAAACCTGAGTGAGGTGTTCGATGAGATCCCAGTGATCTCTTTTATGTGGGCAGGCTTGGATCGACCCATCCTCAATTTTTAGGATAGTATTGATTACGAATTGAGAGTCAGTGTAGAATGTTACATGATGTGGCTCTGGAATATCATGTGACTGTTCGGCTGCCACGATTATCGCAAAAAGCTCTGCTCGGTTAATTGTCTGTAGCCCTGGACAGTGACCTGTGGCAACAACCTTATAGGAGACCCCACAATTGGATGGTGTTTCGTCTTCGCCTCTTCATTGAGATGGAGAAACATGGTTCAGGAATGTTTGTGAGAGACAGGAAAGGGACCATATAAAGAAAGAAAGAAATATCCCTAAGACTCATTGAGCCCTCCTATGGAGGGCTTTGACCCTGCATAGCAGGGGGGCTTGGACCCTCAAAGGCATTTAGGGAGTGTTTGAAAGGTGATAGGACTGCATAGTGACTGCATCCGCCTCCCCAAGATCCAACATCAAGCTACCCCACCTGCTCCTCCGGCTCCGCTCCGCTCCTCCGCAGGTCTTCCACTTGGTGCCCACGTGGGATTCCACGGGCTTCCGCGGAACGGATCTGCCCGTGGGCACCGATGCGCAAGTCGCTCGGCGGGATGTTCGTTTGCCGCGGAGGTGGAGGGGTGAAGAGTCTCCCAGCATCTCCCAGCACTTCGTGAGTCCTGGAAAATGTTACAAAACAATTACTCAAGTAAGAAGGTTTGCAGGTTTTGGAGATTGGCTGGGTCAGACTGGACCTGTATAGATCAGTTTGTGTGGTCCCAGCACTTCAGGAGAGGTACTGTCCCAATTCGTTGCCACCAAAAGGATACCAAAAGCAGGCAAGACGCCCACTGCTGGCGCCCCAGATTTGGGGTTTGCCTCTTTTTGCAAACCTACGTCCACCATCGCTCCAATCTTCACAAGTCGACACAAGCTTCACAGAATCGCAAACCCTTCCATCCCCACATTCCACCCCCAGTCGGAGTGGTTTACATGGACACCCCTTAATTCACTGCTTTTGGGGGGGGACATCAAAATAGCTGGACACCCAACTGGAACAGGATCCGTCCTGGATTGGATTGGATGTCTCCCTCCGCCATTCCGAGGACTGCTCCGCCATCTTGGGCACCTTGGGTGAGGCCTTCTTGGTCTTCCCGGGCGCCGAGCCGGAAGTGCTCACGAAAGCAGCTGCACGCTCGGCCGCCCCTCGGTGCTGCGTATGGCTGCGTTGTGAGCAACGCGAGCAACGCGTGGGTCTCCGGCGTTCATAGCAATGCATGCAGATAAATTGCCATAAGATATCTTTAAGGTAGTTCATACAGATCTATATCACCGGGATATACCAAGTACTATGATGATGAGATGGGGCGAAGCTGCACGGCGTTCGCATGGCGATCGACCTGCAGGTCCATGGGACCAAGAAGTCGCAGAATAGCATTTATAAGTGAAAATCTAGAGGAAAACCATCGTTTGGCTGAACGATCGTGGTTTCCTGTAGATGGTCCTGAAAAATTCCAAATCCAATCAGGGAAAACGGGTGGCTTCAGTCTGAGGCCATCCTACCACTGCTGAATGCGGAGCCTTCGGCTGAAAAGCCCTGGTTCGTCACCGAGGACAGCTTGTTTCGTCTCCAAAGTATACCCTGGGCCACCGAGACCCACTTGGCACCGGAGAAAAACCACGGGGGTTGTACCGGCACCCGACTTCACACCAGAAACCTGTGACAGGTGCCCTTCCCGACCCATAACTCGGAGACCGAACCTTGGGTTCGGTGCTGGTGTTCGGAGTCCACGCCTTCCGTCCAAGCCGGCCGGTTCGGGTCTCAGGTCAGGGTGTAATCCATCATCCACACCTTGAACCCAAGCCATGGAATTTGGGCGGCATAACGACATGACTGGGACTGGAGTATTGCACACATGGGATGTGTGCATCAACCACCCACTTTCACCCACTGGTTTCGCCACACATCGCCAAGGGCTGTTTGGAGCGTCTGGGCACACCTCAACTTGAGTGCGAGTGTGTCCTCGACCCAACCAGGAGCAGTGGAAGGTCTTGCGCGATCCAGAGGCTGCTGCCGACAAGGCAGACAGTGAAACAACACGAGCCTCCCTGACCCGGGGCTCCGATCGGCTAGGTCTCCTCAGAAGATGGTTAGACCCCTGGCACCCACCCCAACCATCTTCGAAACGGAGGTCAATGGAGGCCTAGGCTAAGTTCAGAACCAGGCAACATGTGATCCCAACCATACATGGCCTGACCTACGCTCTGGTGGGTAAAGAGAGGGGATGTGTCCGAACAGGCCCGAACATAGAGGAGTCTGTTCACGGTAGGTGGTCAACCAGGGTGCCCGGGTGATGACCCACATCTATCGACCCCATTCGACCCCTCGCCAGGTGGCAGCCGCTTGTGCTAGTGCCTTGGGGAGCTTTGACATACATCACAAAGTGAGGGGCCCTGAGATACACACACAAACACACGAAGCTCAAGGAGACACCAACACCCCCTATAGATCTAGTATCCGTAAACGGGCTCGATGGGAGTCAAAGAAGATGGTGATCTCAAACCACACGTGTTTGGTCAAGAGCAGACTTGCCTTTTCTCTATCGGCAAAACTTAGCCAACTGACCAAAAGGGAAGCACCAGGGCATCACCGTGAGCCGAGCCACGTCTATTCAGGCTGTTGCAGAACCTGATCAATGTGATGAGCTTTGCTACGTGGATCCCGATGCCGAGAGGCGTTGGTGGATCCTCACCGGCCATGCATAGTAAAGCAGTTGTTGAACGGAGGGAGTTTCGGCCGTTGAACTGTTTCCCCTCCGACAAGAGGTCACATGGATTTAGATGTTGGAGTAGAGAAATCTCTCATCTTGCATTCCAGCTCATGTGGTTCTAAAGGAAAAAAGCTCTTAAAGGGACCAGGCCATCCCCTTCTTCCATGGTTCTGCTTGGGTGGGACCCCCTGTCAGCACACCTGCAGCGTTGACCGTGCCAAGTGACCGGAACACAAAACGATCCGCGCTGCCAGGTGGGCACAGCTGGCAGAAGTGGCTCAAATGGATGTACCTGATGTGAAGAAGGGAAAGATGCCCGTGGCTTACGGTGGAAAACACGGGCATCACTTCGTTCGCTGTACTCCACTCTGACTTCGGTGGAGTACGAAGTGTTTCGAAGTTCTCCGGTCCCCCGAGAGGAGGCTCAAGGCGTCGCAGCAAGTCGCAGCGAGTCGCAGCGAGTCGAACTTCCGTGATGAGTCGAGCACGGTGCGTCGAGGCGCTTGCAGGGCAGCTTCCAAGGAACTGCGACGACGCATACACATCAGCCTCTTGGCTAAGGGTTCAAAACGGCTCAAAATGGTTCAAAGGTCATTCCAACGATTCCTCATAGCTTTCTTCAGGATTCCACTTAGTCTGACGACAAAGGTGAATTCCAGCTGCACATGGCTCCCATGGTGTATCACGTAGAGGGCATGGATGAATTGCCCCGACGCGACCCCGACAACAGCCCGACTTCCCGGTCCCGAACCAAACCATACAGATTGGTGAGAAGGTCCGGGCCCCTCCAGTCCGGATTCGGGTACGGCCCCCGGTCCCCGAACGCTACGGGTCCAGGCGGCCACACCGATCCTCTCGCCGACCGTCTTCCTTCCACCGAGTGGACCGTGGTTTCAACGAGTCTCGCCCGTTCGTCGACCCTTCTTCGTTTTGGGGAGAAAACGAAGACGGGCCGATTTTTTTGCGCATGAGGATGGACTTGAACATTGGTGTGAACATGGAGATGCCCTCCAAGGTGAGACGCGTCTCACCTTGCTCGCTCGGACTCTTTGGAACAACGGACCGAAAAGCATCGCATCGCACCGCAGGGGAGGTGGTCTACCTCCACGCTGGTGCTGGGCATTGACACATCGGTCACACATCGGACATGTTGATCTGAAGATCACGAGGGGACAACGGTGGATTCGACTGGGCCCTGGGATTCGACTGCTGGATGCAACGTGAATAGGTACGTACTTGGCACCAACCCCCCTCTATTCTACGGGATCTCTTCCTTTTTCCGGTGCCCAATGGCACGGGACCTTCCGTTCGGTAGGTTGCGGCCAAGACCATGAAGCAGCTCTCCGATTCAGGTGCCTTCGAAGGTCGCAGAGTTGGGGCTCAATGCCTCTGGTGGGTCGTGAGGGAACAGGCACCAGGTGTTCGTCACTTTTTTCGAGCCAAGACTGTGGCGCCAGGGCAGAACCTCACATCCAATCCCGGAATCAAAAAATCACATCAAAAACCAGGAGAAACCCATGGAGCGCTGGGTGCTTTGCCACCAATGACTCCATGTGTCTTCGTCTTCCATCCACGGGTTCGAGCTTGGGCGGTAAAGGTTGCAAACATGAGACTTCTCTCAACGAGGTGTCACACCCCCTCAGAGTTCAACGAGAAGTGTCCTGAGACAGTGTCACAGATTCGGGCAGGAAGACGAATTTGAATGTTAAACAGACCTGCCTGGTCCAGCTTCAGACATACTTTTGATGTTTCAATCTTTACTTGTGGATGATTGGACATCGAATCGAAGCGAGTTGAAACCATTCAAATCGACCGCGCCTGACTGAGCGCCTGAGGCTTGGTGCCGCAGGAGGCACAGGAGGCGTTGGAGTCGGAGCGCCGCAGCTCAGGCGTCTTTGGCGCGGCTCTCAGGTGGCGGGGAGGGGCTCTCGGGTGGAGAGGTGGGCCAGGGTGGCAGGTTCAGCCAGTTCATCTGTGATGGTATGGCCCATTCATCTACGTTTGAGGTGAAAAAAAGCGAAGAAAAACTAGCGGGTTGAGAGTAGATGACATGGAGTCCCCAAGTTTGATGGTTTTGATGGACCGCCATTTTTTCCAACACATCTTGGAGTCGCCGGTGCATCCATCCTTTGAAAGCACCGTAGATGTGGGTAGCCGGTTGTTCAACCTGCTTCGCCCGACCGACACCAGGCGGCGGACCAACCTCGTACGACCCGTAGTCGGTCTTGTGACCTAGTAGGCCATATATGGCAGTTGGTTGAATGGCTGGGATCTGGAAGTTGAGAAGTCATTCTGAACCAAAATGATGTGGACTTCCAATTCGGCCGCTTTGCTTCGGTTTTGTTAGCCGTGTCTTTGGAAATCCGAGGTGCATTGGCTGACTATTTCCGGAAAGACTCCCAGGTACCGGATCTGACTCAGCTCCAGCATCACTGCATTAAATCGACGCGAAACGTAGCTTCAGCATGCTTCAGCTATACCTGAGTTCCCCGACAGCTTTAATAAAAATGTATTGTAAATGGGAGTCCGGCTTTTTGCAATGATCTAAGAAAGGATTCTTGCATCACTTGGAATGCGAAAAAGGCATTTTTACATGCCATGTTCCCATGTTGGAATGATGCGAGAATGCGGCAGGATGCGACGGCGGATGTGTCCTCCATGATCATGAACAGCATGCAGATGAAGCTCGATGACGTGCATGCAACCTACGAGCCAGGGATACTCAGCTGGACGTGCAGTGCTGCACTGCATCTGCACGGTTCACCCGTGCGGCACTGCACCCGTCGCTTTTGACAGTAACAAGGTGCATCAAACTTAGGGACAAGAGGCTACTTTATAGTTATCGATACACCTCTTAGGGAAGCACCGATGTTACCTTACAAGCTGATCAACTTAGTTGACATAGTTGATCAACTTAGGGATAACCTTTATAGTAACTAAGGTGATCCGGGGAGCCGTCCCAAAACTCTCATGCCCCGCGGTGTTTTCCACCGCTCGCAACGCTCGTCCGACTCGGTAGACCGACCCGCGGTCATCCCGCGATCCCGTGACGAGGCCCTCAGTTGAGGAGACCTTTTTCGTCGGTGGAACGAAGGTCTTTTTTCCGAATCATCATGGAAGTGGACCACCCAACCCAACCCGGTTGCAGCTCCCGTTCTTATCGGGACCATGCCAGAGATGAGCGATGGATTCCTGACTGTGTAACTTGGGTCTGTCCGTTCTGACCTGTAACAGTCGGTAAAAGGTCTTGAAGGCCTGCAACTGAGCTATCAGGCAGTTACAGGCCCTGGTCATGGGAGATACTCAAAGTGCACCCTAGCCAAGCCCAAGACCATTCAATTCTGTGTTTTTTTAGATCCGTAAAACCATGATTCTTGGAATCCCAGGGTGTAAGTCAAACACGGCGCTGGGGCAGATCCATCGGACTGCAGTGCCCCAGTGGCCCACTGGGCGCCAGGGCGCAACAGGAGGAACTTCGGCAAGCGTTGGATGAGGCGAAGTCGGAGGCAAGAGACTTGAAAGCGACGTCGGAGGATGGGAAGATGGTTGAAGTCGAGCGAGGAATGAAGTGAACTTCCCCAGAATTGGTTTCAGGAAAAATCCAAGCCTCCAAGCAATCGTTTTGGTGGGGAAGACCAGGGTTTTGCTGCAAATGTTCCCTTAAACCAATTCATTGAGAACTCCTATCTTCAGCATTCACAGTCCACAAATCTTCGGACCATTTTGTGCGCTGGCGGCTTCAGGTACATCAGATGACGAAGAAGGTGAAGCAGCTTGAGGAGGATCGCTCTTGTGTGCTGTTTGTGGGTGGCTCAGGCCTTTTCGTGGAGGTCCAGGAGTACACTGGATTTGAAGAAAGCAGCTTCCTTGAATCTTTGCTTTGTTGCTTCATTCAGGTTAGATGTTGTGTTGCTTTGACGCAACCGACACGAAAAAAAAAGCGCGTCCAAAGGGACGCGAAACATCCAGAAGCATCTCCATCCGTCGTGAAGAATGGAGTTTAAAGAACTGAACAGTCACCCACCCTAAGAATCAAAGAACCGCCGGTGAAGGTTTGCTTTGGGTCCAAACCCCTGCTATCTCAGCAGCAGGATCCAAACCCTCCAGTTCAGTGGTCCAGGTCCGCTGTATTTCTCTGAGAGAGACCACCCAACCGCTGCGTTTCGCCAGATGCGACTCGCCAGGAGAATCAAATCTTGGAGTCGAGAAGTCGCCAGGAGAGTCTTCGGCAAGTCGTTCTTCAGCTACCGCCCTCCACGAGAAGTATCAACATACCCAACGTACCGAGCTACACGAGCTACTGATCAATGACCGAATCGAGCTACGAGTGAAAACCACGTTCCTCTTCCTGCTCTTCGGAAGTTTTCACCTCGTCCTGCACTGATCCATGTTGGCCTTGAGACACTAGCACGCTCGCATGGCGGGGTTCGTCAGCTTGCCGTTCGTTGTCCGTCAGGACTCGGGCAAGCTGAACGGCAATGACAAAGAGGCCGAGCTCGAAGCACTTCGAGGCGCGGAAGGTCAAACGGCCCCTCTGCGGCAGCGGTTTCGGACGACGGTCCGAATGAGGCCATCCATGAAAACCGCCCAAAAGATGGTGACCCAGTCAGGGGGACCAGAGCCTCCAGTTTCATTTAGACTCTTGATAAGAGGTTATTCCACGTCTGGCGGACGTGTATGAAACAAGAGTCTACATGATAAGGGGTGAGCTCTACCAGGTGAATGAATTGGCCATAAACCATGGTGAATGTGGACATAGAGTTCAATTTCAGTCCGATTGGGATGCTTACCGAGACACAACCGATGGGACTGGCATATGGGGATCATAGGGATGGTTGATTCCAGGGGTTGACCATGTAGGTCCACAACTGGATCTTCCAACGACCCCACGACATGTTCAATATTGTCCAATGTCTGCCGAACGACTGGCTCCAAAATGGATGAAGTTCGCCAGGCAGGTCGCGGTTGAGTTCTGACATGCCATGTGAGCCATGGTTGGTGTCAGGCGTCATGGCTGGTGTCAGGCTCCTCCTTCATCGCTTCTTCGCTCCAGATCCGACCCTCGGAAGATCCGATCGGACCATCCGACCACAGGCGACGTTCCGGCTGATCGGGCGGCCGCAGGTCAATTGTCCGCGAAGGATGCGGAGCTTTCTGCCAAGGCACGAAGTTGGGCACGAAGTCTGCAGGTTCTTGAACTCATCTTGAGGACCGAAACCAAGTACGGTTTTTGGACACCTCACCTCTAAGAGGCTATTTATAGACACCTCTTGGTGTCGGTCCTGGGTGTCTGGATGTCTAATTCATCCTGTAACACTCTGAACGACCTTCGGTGCTCGTACCAAAGTTCGGTGCCCGCAGCCGCTGCCCAGCTCGACGAGCGTTGCCCGTCGTCGAGGCCAAAGAGTTGGAGGCAGCGTCCATCCGCCGGAAAGAAGATTTGGAGGCCAAGCCTTGAGAAGAATGTCGAGTGGAACTTGAGCTATGAGAGATGTCAAGTCCCAGGTGGTTGTTATTAGGTGGCTGTCAAGACCTTCCAAAGATGCGTTTTTGTTTGGTTTTTCCCATTAGGCACCACTGAAAAGGGCCTGCCAGCGTCCTACTTCTCGCCGCTTTACTCTCTCGTCGCCGTCTCGAGTCTTCACGTCAGGATCAAGCGCAAGCCGCGAAGGACGGAGACACCCGTGGCCTCCGAATGTGATGTGTTGAGTAGGACACGGCGACCGAAGAGGTGATTCAGTGAAGCATTCAACATCCCTTCGGAAACTTCGGCTCTCAGAAGCAAGTTGATGGCGAAGAAGTGTTGCATGTGCCATTCTTTGCTTAACATGCCAACTGGATGCACTTCCTATCGCAACGGCACCGTTCAAGGGCCGATGACTCGAGCCTCGCGTATCAAGGACTTGGCTGCTTTGAATCGCTTGGAGAAGGCCTTGCATCAGGCGCCGACGGGCTAACAGAAAGGAGTTCATCAACTACTAGTGATGCCATCAGCATGCATCAGCCTTTTGATGCAAAGCCTCATCTTCGAAGCCTCATCAAAAGCCTCATCAGCCGGTATAGCGTAGATCCAATGCCTCAAACGACGCCTCAAACAACCCGTCTCACGCGATCGACGGACCCAGGCGCATGCCCGGTTGGAGGCGAAGCGGGACGTTGCGACCGAAGGGCTGAGCGGCTGAGTGGACCCAAAACATGCGCACAGGATGTGGATCATTAGTATTCTTGATCGCTTAGATGTTTGGTTTTTTTGGGGGAGGTTGGTCTTCTTCTACTTGGTGTTTCAAGTCCTAGACCGGCTTGCATGATAGAGGAATCACCGATAAGGGCGACAAGTGAATCGAATCACTTCTTACACTTCAAAGATCGATGCTAAAGGGTGGGGACCACCTGCTGCGAGGTGTTTTTTCTTCGCAGCTGAGATGCGCTCGTGTTCCTCACGCTTCAACGTGCGCTGGCGGGTGCGGCGCGTGGTTGTTGCGCTGACGGTCACCACCGAAGCGTGAGGCGCTGGAGCAAGAAAAGCTCTTGCTTCAAGGAGAACTGAACGAGCTGAAAGCCAGCCATCAGCCTCAGCAGCCTCAGCAAGCCCGACCTGAGAGAAGTGTTGACATGTGTTCACCCACCATGCTTGATCACGAAAGGTAGCGGTTACGCTACCTGAGTTTTCCTTTTGCTTTAGCAAAAATGTATTAACCCAGAGCTGCAGCCTATCTCTCGGAGAAATGGTCCCCGACATCTTCGTTTGCTGGCCGGGGGGGGGGGGGCCCCCCCCCCCCCTTTCAACTCCACCCTAGCGCGCCTCGGGGTCAACCGTTCGAAAACACTGTAAATATCAGTGTTTTCAGCTCTTCCAGTCCTCAGCAGTGACCAAAAATCATGGAATTTACAGCGTTTTTTGTGGCTGTCCGGCAAAAAAACACCGCAAAAAACCGATGGTTTTTGATGCGTCTCGGTTAGAAAAATGACCGAAAAAAGACCAAAAACCAGGAAAGATTTTGTCAGAAAGGGTTTTTGAGGCTTTTGGAGGCTTCAAAATTGCACAAAACTATGGTATTTACAGGGTTTTGTGCACCTTCCCGGCAGAAAACGCCGGTATTTACACGGTTTTCTGCGCTTTTCCAGCGCTCAACCGTGGTGCGCCTTTGGATCGACGGCTACAAAATACCGTAAATACCAGTGTTTTCAGCTCCTCCTGTCTTCAAGCGTGGCCTTAGACCTTGCCGCGGCTGTGGATCGACGGCAACGAAACCTCGTAAATGCCAGTGTTTTTGAGCACGTCCTGTTTGCAAGCATGGCCTGCGGCCACGCAATTTACAGGGTCGCCGCACGTCACTATGTAAATCCGAAGTTGCATTTGAGAAATATGTGACTCCTTTTGAAGGCACGTCAACCTGTATTGAAACCGCTAGACCGCTACAGCTTCTGGAGGTTTTGTCAAGCGTTTGTGCACTAGTCTTTCTTTCATCACGCTCACTCACTTCTCTTCAAACAAGTGGGGGGCCTCTCACCTCCTCCCGGATTACGCCTGATTCCCTGCTACCTTTCGTTCACCCCCCTCCTCTCTCAAGTTCACAGCTGAAGAGCTCACAGCTCACAGCGTGGACCTGCTTGGGATTGAACGATGCGATGGTCAGTCTCACAAATATGCCCCAGGACCTTGATTGTTAAACCCCCCAGCATGAAGAAAATGGACCACCACACTCACCACAGGTCATCAATTGATTCGATGGTCAAGGGAAGAGTTTGGTGTAGTGAGCCTACAGCCAGGTCACTCTTCACAAGAAAACCGTGTGAATCATGTCCAACCAACAGAGGTTGAAGAACCCTATAGGCTATCCCACCATAGTTCAGGTCACTTAACCTCTGGAACGAAGCGTTCGAAAGTTGGAGGACCTTCCAGTTCCATGCAGCGAGGACCCCGGCCCCATCATCCTTTCATTTGGCCAATCATGGAGGGAGTCGACTCGATGCCCGCATCCGGTCCATGTCTTCAATAAGTGGGATTTGGATGGATGTGTGATCTAAAAAAAGGAAGGCACGTTCTTTAGAAGCTTTTGGGGTTGAACCGGTGTGTGTGTGTGTTTTTTCCATTTGTTCCACCAGGCCCAGCCTGGTCGTTACACCTCCAAGTACCTCAGAAGGTATTTGGACCCCCCAAACACCTTGTCACAAGGTACTTGGAGGCCTAGGGGGCATCTGTTTTTGGTTCAATCCCCAGCGATCAGCTCCTAGGCCATGCACGAGCCTGTGGAGAGCTGGATTCCTTGAGGGAGATGCCATCGTGGGCATCCCTGGACGTGGCCGAATCGTTCTGCCCGTCGTGGTATAGTCGTGGTGAAGCATTGGACAATCCATGACCCCCAGGCACGACTAATGGGACTGGCATATATGCCGATCAGTTGGGGTGGTGCCAGGGGGGGTCAATGTAGGCATATATGGCAGTCCCATGGAGTGTCTGGGACCAGTGCACAGACAATCCATTCGACTGGCATTGAGGTGCTTCGAACGAAAAGATAGGGGTCTTTCTGGGGCGGCATATCTCCCAGTCCCAGACAGGGACACAACCTGGGTATAGCTTGGGTTTGTCCCAGCTGTAACAGTCGCTCGGTAAAAGGTCTCGTCACTACTTGCTCTAGAGATGGAAAGGCCTGCAACTGAACCAACATCCGCTGTTACAGGTAATAGGATAGACCCAAGGTCAGAGTGTATCACTGGTCACTGGTCACTAGAGATGGAAAGGCCCACTGAACCATCATCCTCCCCGCCGTGGGAGGTTGGGATAAGTATAGCCGTCGGTCAAGGATGCTCAAAAGTCCTTTATATTCCTTTATACTCATCATCCACTGTCACTTGTAGCATCAAGCCGCTGCTCGGGGTGCGGGAATACCCCGAGTTTGGAGCCATGGCCTTGGCCTGATGCTTTAGGGAAGAAGCTGTCCCAATTGGCCAAGAGTTCTGGGCCAGGGTTAGATCCGATGTATTGGCAGAAGCTTCTCACTTCTTGTTGAGTCCTCAGTCCTCGCTTCTCAGGCCCAGTGCACACAGGGAGGTGGGAACCGAAACGACAAGCTGCAGATCGCTTTTTCGAACACTTTTTGCGGGTCAAGCAAATAGAGAGAAAGGTTTAACTGTTATAGGTCAATTGTAAGTGGACCCTTTCAGCCGTTGATTCACTTTGGAAGCAAAAAGAAGGGGCCTTTGCCGTTCCGCCTTCAGATCCCGGCGCAGTGCTCCGACGTGTTCAGTCCGACGTGATCACGACCTTCCTGTAACAACCCGATGACCTAAAGATGCGAAGGGTGTTTCATCAAAAATGCGAGTGTGAACGTGTCAGTGAAAAGGATTTCACCGGTGTTCATTGAACGTCGACCGTGTCTCGCAGGCACGAGCCAAGCTTGAGGAGAAGCAGCAAGAGTGCCGTGGTTTGGATTTGGATTTGGGTTTCAATTCCCTCCATCAAACTGGCATGGATGCCGCCCCAGAAAGACCCCTGAAATCAACCACCCAAAGGTTGGTAGCAACATGTCAGTCCCGTGGGTCGTGTTTGGGATTTGTGGAGCCAAGTAAGTCGCCCGAACAATGGTCCATTGTTTGGAGTTCTAGAAACTTTCGCCATCACGGTCACGGTCGAGAAGAAGACTGCAGAATGAGGAAGAAAAGGAAATTGAAAAGGCTTTGATGACAAGTACTCAGAGTCCAGAAAGTCTACTATAAGCGGGTCTTATGTCTTTTGGGCTTCGTTCCGCCAGATGTCGCCCCGCCGGGCCGACGACCGACGCAGGTGTGAAGGCTTGGCCCAAAAGCTGGCCGTGACGGAGGCCGTCGCCCGCGATGCCAAGCGGCGCTTAGAGGAGAGCGGGCCGAGTTCGCCGGCGCTTTTGGTTTCGAAAGCAGGAAGAGGTTCTGTGCATCAAAAACGTTCACGTATCGGGATACGTGGTGAGGTTTCAGTGGTGTGGTTTCAGTGGTGTTTTCCAAAAAAAGATATCAAGGAAAGGTGACAAGTGATTTATGTTTTGTTCCAAACAGTGTGGTCACACCTTAACTCATGATGTATATATTATAGATTCTGGTAGGTCCACTCGGCTCGGTGTCCCCCCAAACACCCGCCCACGTGACCGAACCGCGTCGGTTTGGGCGTCGAGGACTTGGAGGCGCAAGTCTCCGCTCTAACAGGCCGAGAGGCTGAAGCCAAGAGTGGCGCACAGGAGGCGAGATGGCTTGCTTCCGTTTAGGGAGGAAGGCGAGATGGCTCGTGGGGGATTCTGCGGAGAGGAGAGTTGGATGAAGAGGAGGTGGTTCTTTTTCGGTGGAAAACAGAGACATGTGGCTTTGTCTATCAGAGACTGGGCACGTGGGGCCACAGTCGGTGAAAACATGGATGGAAGACGGAGAGAGAGTGGTGAAACATGGGATCGTGGACGCAACACATCCTTTTTAAGTCTTTGGAAGTCGACCAAGGTATTCGAAAGAATTGAACACTGCCTTTGGGAATCCTTTTTGCTGATATTTATGGATGAAAAGACATTAAAAGTGTCACATTTGGAAGATTTATAGAAATAGGATGGAATAGGTAATAAAGGGGGAGATCCCTGTAGAAGCCGCCGGTATGGCCTGTTTCACAAGCACATTAGACGCTCCAAGTGATCCATGCGCAACCGAAATCCGGAGTAACCAATCTCAGTGCTTAATCTCGAAGACCTTATGAAGAAAAGCTCCGGATGACTCCGGAAAGTATGCGGGATGCGTTCAACCTTCCAGACAGTCGACCGACCTGTCGCGGTCCGCGGCCCGGGTGATGCGTTCGCGGTCGCGGTCTTGTCGCGCCCGGTCGCGTAGCAAACCGGAGGCATCCAATCAGCTGTTGGAAAAGGCGGAAGAGATGGAAAGGCGAGGCGTAAAGCGAGCTCGTTGGGCCATTTTAAAAAATGGTGGTTCGACTTCTAGGGGATATGAAAGACACAGATGGCTTGGGATGTGTGAAGTTGACCATTGATGCGAAGAGAAAAAAAAGGGGGGAAGGCCCGGGCCGTTAAGGGAAGTGTGTTCGCTTTCGAAAAGCAGAGGCTGAGAGCGGAGAACCAAGAAATGAAGGAAGAATTGGCGAAGGTCACTACGCAGCTGCCTCAGCAAGCGAATCTTGTTCTGCGGACACCAGGCGATTTGGTGTGACCCATTTTTTCCACTCAAGACCAAGAGTTTGGTCTGAGCACATCAAGGTGTAATCTTTGGGCCTAAGATTTTTTGCCAATCAACAAGCAAGATGTCACATCAAATCACTTTAGGTCTTAGCGATGGCCTCCGACCTACTAGCGATGGCCTCCAACCTACTAGAGACTCTTGATTAATGACCCCCCCAATTGAATTGGACATCCTCTTCATATAGGAGGTTTATTCACTTCAAGCTTTCCTGCTTAAGAGTCTACCAATTCATTTGTCATCTGTTTTTTTCCACTCATCTTTCGTCCCAAGTCGCCTCGTCGCCTCGTCGCCTCGGACTAGGTCGGAAAGAAGACTGACATCCACCGTGGCCCAGCTCAATGGCACCTTCCTTAGACGTCGAAGATGGCCCCATCTTCGATCTGATGGCCCGAACTGCCGGAGTCGTCGAACCCCACGGGCCGAAACCGTCTTAGCCAACCGAGTGGACCGCGACGTTTGGACGAGAAAGAACGTGACGTACGAACGCGTCGTGTCGACTGCGATGTTCGTATAGTAGCGATGAGCCTTTGTTCCTGGTATAGCTTAATTGTTACGTAATAGCAGTATATTAATGGCCTCCAACCCAATAGCGATGGCCTCTTCTTGCTACTACGTATCTAGTAGTTTCTTGTTAGTAAGGCCAGGAGCTACTAGTAGTTTCTTGCTCCGTTGGTTCGTCGTGATGCCCTTGTTTGACTCAGAACGCTTGTCCGCCAGCGCCAAGTCAGCGCCCAAGGGACTCGGGACCGACCAGATCAGTCGACCGGATCTCGGGTTTGGGGGAGTTTCGCCCCAAATCCGCAGGCATTCATCAGCCATCAGTTTTAGAATCGAGGTTAAGTGACCTGAACTAGGACCCTACTGGGGTACCGAACTGGGATAGTCTAGTTCGGGTCCATCCCAAGATTTTGGAATGTGTTTGTTGGAGCTTGGACGGTCTCAAGGCTCGTGCTCGGTGGTGGATGTGGGCTGGAGGGATGTGCCAGTTACCAGGCCTGAGACCGGCTCCAGACCGAGCTCCTCCGAGCTGCAGAAGTTGCTGAAACTGCACCAGGACCTGCAGGCGTCGCCGCGTCGCGTCGCCTTCTTCCGCGTCGCCGGTGGCTCTCATTGGTTGCGTTGTGGCTCTCGTTGTTGCTCACTTCCAAGAAGCACCTGGAGTCCACCTGGCTGCGCGCTGTGTTTGGTTTCCCGCGGCTGCGCCGCTCCTGTTTGTTTGTTTTTTTGTTCGACTCCGACGGAAGGGTGAGTCAGGCCGTGAGCAGCATGTGGCCAAGTTCCAAAGATCCTGAGATCTTGGGGAGAGTGGCTGAGTACGTAGACGTCATATGTTTGGCCCAGTTGTGTTTCTCATCGGACGACTTCGGAGAACCTTGGCCCATCGGACAGTCAGTCGAGGCCAAGACGAGTCTCAGACGAGTCTCAGACGATCAGCGGATGGATCGCCCCATTTCTGTTCATGCATCACCGTCATTCACCCCATATCCTCTCATCATCTCATAAAAAGCAGTCCGAGTCTCTGAATCTGTCCTGACCCCCCTTTTTCGAGATTGCTCCCGGCTCACGGTCAGGTGGAGCACGAGAAGTGCTTGAAATCTTTGGATGGCTTGCAGGGCGAGCGTCCGGGACTTATCTTTTTACGTGAAACGTTTGTCTTCCCATCGCTGAAAAAGAACAGGTTTGCACATGCGCAGAGGAGGGTCCGCAGGTTTGCTCGGAGAAAACATCGGTTTCGAGGTGCCAATTGGCAGGATGAAATGGTCGCGTTGAAAAAGACCTGTGCGCAGCTCAGCATATGTCTTGAGTCTTGAGACCACTTTGCCAACCGTTCAGACGTTTCCGTCAGCTCCTCAGGTAGTCAGCTCCGACATGAAGCAGACCAGGCCAAATAACCGCAGAACGAATCGGCAGGGTGCCAGTTCTGAAGATTCATTTTCTAAGGGCTATAACAACGGCATTTCAGCTTTGTTTAGTACAGTGGGCCTGCTATGTTGAACCATGTTGAAGCTTCCCTCCTTGGGTGTCCCTTGGGTGTCAGGTGAAGACCACCCTGGTCGCAGAAGTGGCTGGAAAAGCAGCTTCTGTTGCTTGGCGTATCCTTGAACAACCTTGCCAGTTGTTTTCTTTTCTGTCGCTTTCAAAAGATCCTTTGTAACCTTGCTTCTTTCTACTAGTAGCATCCTTCCTCCTAGTAACTAGGTCCTAGTAGCGATGCCTTTTGTTACTAGTAGCGATGCCAGGAGCTACTAGCGTCAAATGAAATCATATGAAACCACATGAAAGCTTTTTACTACTAAGAAGCTTCAAAGACCTAAACGTATATTCTTGCTACTATAGTAGTAATGGCCTCCAACCTAGTAGCGATGGCCTCCACATTCCTCTTCATGGGATAGAAGCGGCCGGGTCGCAGCTTCCCGTCCAGGTCGCACAGGTGGCGCAAGAGAAAGAAGTGGCCAGCACGCTCAAGCAGGCCCCTTCCGGCGCGTGCACGTTGCACCGGAAGGGGCTAGGGCGAGACGTTCAGAGCCCAGTGTTCGAGTTCCAATTCGAAGCCCTAGCCCCCCCAGCTGAAGGATTCGAAGTGACAGAGGTTGACAATACTTCAGTTCCTTTTTCCAGGGAATCCTCTTCATTTTTCGTTCACTGTACAAATTGCTTGGTTGGTTGGTTTCTGCCTTTCGGGCCTAGAAGGTCTTTACTGGAGGATTTCCAAGGCTATCACGTCTGACGATGGTCTGGACTGAAGCAAGTTGCAGAAGCCTGGAGGTTCATACGTCGACCCATGTTGACATATGTTGACCATCTATTCTGTTGGGGAAGAGCTGTGCTTTTCAACTGTATTCCAATTCGAAGCCGCCCACGGCCCACGGTCCTTCTCACCAGGAACTGGCAGAGCAGCAGCATCGCTTCGCACAGGTGAGTGAGAGGCTCAGACCGGTTTTTGGTCAGGCGAAGAAGTTGTTCGGATGAAAGGCAGTGGCTGACAGTGGCTGACAGGGTCTCCCTGACTGCGTCGGCTTGACTGGGTCAACTCACGCACGGGGGCGGAAAAAAGCGGGGGAAACCGTTGGACTTTGGGGTCAAGATGCCTAGAGCTTCAAAGAGGCATCGATTTCTGCCTCGAAGGATTTCTGCCTCGTTCTTTGGTTTCCGCTCGTTTTGATCATGGTCAAAAAATGCGCTCGTTTTTCCAGGTCTCCCACCCTCACCATGGCGCGCACAGCACCATGCACACACACTTTTTTCTGGCCATTGTCAATGGTGGTGATCAACGCTGGGGCTCCAAGTCGTCGGCAGGGTGACAGATCAACGCTGTAGGAGATAGGCCTTTTCCCACTCCAGCTTGTACTGCACTAGCGCTCGGGTCATGGTGCCAAATGCAATTGCTAGCGGATGTACTTTCCGACTCTGTCTTGCAATCCGTCCTATAAAATCTTCATCTGACCAGCATGCGTGGCCTGGGACAAGTGCTTTTTGCAATATGCATGCATGCTTATACACCGCTTGTTTTCACCAAAACTGAGCTAAACACAAGCTGGACTGAGAACTTCTTCAACTGCTGGATTCTCCAGCTGGATTTCCATGTCACGCCTTGGTGGAAGTGGAAGCACACATGCAGGTGAACACGGAAAGCTAGCGGCACACACTGGCTGGACCAAATGCCGTTGCAGGCACACGATGTGTTGCATCATGTGCAACTTTGGGCGCATGTAAAAAAGTGCCCACCCCTGTGTCTTGGACAGCCGCGCGGCTGCCCCATACGCTTCCTAAGACACCGTGCGAGCCATTCAACATGATGGTCGATGTAGCATGCATCCACAACACATGCAAACAGGATACGATCATGGCCCAGCCAGATTCAACGGCTTGCTTGGCATCAGCTCGCGGCAGCCAAAGATTTGGTTGGTATACGATTTTGAAGAAGCAGGAAGTGTTCTCGATGCCCCACTTCAAGATCGTAAAAAGGTCTCGTGTTCCGTCCTAGGGTTCACAGGGCCATGAGCAAAGTACATCATACCAACCAAAGCAACAGGCATTGGATTTCGTGCACAACAAGCAGCTGGTACCATATCGGGCGTCAAGCCTGCAAAGACTTCCCGCAACCACTTCCCCATGAGCGCAGCATCAAAGCCTTTCCCAAGACCCCTTGGGAACTGCTGTAACCTGGGCCATAGGTCTACTCCCACAGATGCAATGTGCATACATGTGCATGCATGCAACACACCACAAGAGACCATGTGTTAAGTACATGGCAAGAAACGATTGCACTTTCAACTCCGTTTTGCTGAATTCAGTGATGGAAGTTGTGACGCGGTTGCGTGCGCACCATGCTCTAAACTCCCCATAGGCTTCCTCCAGCTGTCTCTCCCATGCTCCGGTACCGTAAATGTTGCAATGAACGCACAAAAAAATTAGCGTCGATGCCAATTGATCTTTGCCATACCCGGCAATTGCATAGGTGTGCGCTAGGTCGCACTTTACAAAGGTTGCATCAGTCGCGGCCCGAATGGGTAGCAAACTTCTAAGAGCGGATGGGGCTCCAGCATGGAAGGGTGGTGGCGCAACAGTGTTGGGTGTCCATGAGCGCACTGCAGAAGTAGCTGTGCAGTTGAACCATTCCTGAAGGGACCCGGAAAGAATCATGCGCTTGCACAAATGCTACTACGTTCTAGCTATAAACAGAGGCCGCACATGTGCATGCGTGCAGCTATGGTTCTGTTGTGTCGCAGAAATGACACTTCCGCTTTGATGTGAACCCTGTGTATAGCTTCATTGCGCCCTTCAAGAAAGGCCAATCACCTTTCACTCCCAATATTTGGGCCCAAAACTGTTCTCGGCGACCTTCGCAGCGAACCTCCAGGCCAGTGTTCAACCAAACAGCGATTCCCAAAACATTGAGAAGCCTTGTTCAGAATGTCGAACTACTCTAGAATAACTGGTGTAGTGTTGGGGCCCAGATTCAAAAGCTTTAGCTTTTACGAGAGCTAAGGGCATGCCGTGGCCTCAAACCCATTGGTTGACAGCTCATTAGCATCATCCACCAAAGCTTGAAGAAGTTGTTGAAGGCTTTTGTCTTTCGGCGCGTAAAGCTCGGATGGCAAGACCGTATATAACATCCTAGTCGTGAAGGTGTTCCTCAGTTGGTAGCCAACCCAGACACGGCCTCACCTAACAGAAACAGGAGCAAAGTACTGTGTTTCTCCCAAAACCCTCAAACATGCCCCACCTAAAGAATTGGTGTAAAGAGCAAAAATATATGTTTAAGCTGCAGCAAGTTGCTTTTTACTGTTGACATGCTCTCCGTGGGACCACCCCAAAATTGGCTGAAAGCTGATGACCATGATAGGTTTCTTTCCTTGTCCTCTACCTTCATCACCGTGGATGAAAAAAGGGATTGTACGATGGGAGCGGTCCCCCAGGTCAAAAGCTTCCACATGCATGTATTTCCGCCAGAAGGTTTGGAGCATGACTTCCGCCTCGCGGAGCTGCTCAGTTTTGAAGCCCCCCAACATAAAGAAGCCACGGTGCACCCGATGCTCAAGACACACTCGGAGCCAGCTACTCAAGTGCAGCGTTGGCCAAGGTCGTACTTCCAGCTTCTTGCGCCGGGTGAAGGCGCGAGCTTTCAGAAGGGTCTGAATCGGAGTCACTGGCACTGGCAAAGTCTTTCCCTTTCTGTGGATGAACTTGGACAAGTTACGACTAGCATTGGTGAGGTTTTTGTTGAACTTTGCACAGTGGGCAATCTCTGAAACTCTGGGATCATAAGCTCCTTAGGCCAATACACGCACCAGCTCCGATCTCGATGGGAACAAGATGCATGGAAACTCGAATTTGGCTAAGGGTCCATGCTTCGTCAACAATCGTTCTGTCCGAACAGCTTGATGTAGAACATCTTTGGCAGTTGCCTTGGGGGCGGGGTTCATGCATAGATGTCATGACATCTCATGACACGTCCTTTCTCTAACCCATGCTTAACACGCGTGCAGATAAGGCACACCTTTGGCAAAGCTTTTCACCAAGTCGTCCGCTATATCATCAGAGCTGGAAGAACTCTGATAGCCTGCAGGGGGTGATTGAGATAGTACTGCGTGCATGTATCTGTAGCGCTTGCAAATCAACTTTGGTAGGCTATGCAGCTAAGGCACGCCTGATTTCTGCTGCATCTCCCCTATGACCTGGCAATTGTTTGCGTTGGAGTATGTTTGGTCACCTTGAAACTTGAGGGGAATATGCATGGTTGCCCCACAATGCTTGAACCTCATAGGCACAAAGGTGTTTGACGGAGGTCATCCCCCAAAAAGATGCACATAAGTTTTGGAAAACATAAACTTGTAAAGAAAGAAACTTGAAAAGAAGGCTTTTCATCTTGTCGCTTGATCATGTAGCGGCTAAGCTGACGAATCTGGAGCGTCAAAGTGTGTCACAAGCCAACGAACACGATGCATCCCCTCATCAACAAACAACATTGAGATAGCAATTCTTTACGGCATCGTGTTTAGGGCTTCCCCAAATCTTGGGCTAGGATCTATACTGTCTATACTTCAAGCCTTGGCTTTTGCCTTAGCTTTTGCCTTGCCCTTCGCCTTTGCGCGGGCAGACTTGGGAACTCCACTTGCCTTTGCGGCTGGGGCTTCTGTTCCGACGGTTGAGGCCGAGCTCTTCAATGTCCTTGGCTACCGATTGCTCCCTTACATTGCCAGCTGGGAAACGAATGACATTATATATGCATGCACATGGTTGCAAGTAAGGCGCTTTGAACGAACCAGCAGAGTGTTCATCGCAACGTCGAGCTTCGTGCAGCTCACAAACAGCTCCAACACACGATCCTTCTGGGTCCTAAGGGGTTAAAGCACACAATGATGTTCCCCGAGCTCGCCCATGACCACACTGAGATAGGTCAAAGGATGTCAAAGGGCTTTACGTGATAGGAGTAGGTATGAAGGCCTTTAGAACTTTGATAGCAAGTCCGCAAGAGTGCTGTAACCTTGAACTCCAAGCTTCTTCTCCAAATCCTCTGATTTAACAGTAGCATCAGCCAAAATCGTAGTCAGCTCGTCATGCACGCTGCGCATTTTGGACAGGTTTTGCTGGATCGTGGTGGCAAGCCTCAGTCCGTGCGCGATCTGGGTGGTGAGGTTTAACAGGCCCCAACATCATGAAGTTTGAGGGTGTGCATGGGTATGCCAAAAAGGCCGACTAGGAGCGATTTGGAAGATGCAGTTTTCAACGTGTCCAATCGGTCCTACACGTGATGAAACCGTGCACCCACGCATGCATGCAGAGGGAATGCACATGCACACAGCTAGGTAAGGTCACGAAGAGTCCTTTTCCACCTGAATCTTGTCCACCTTACGACCCAACACCTCAATGAACTGCGGGAGAATCTGCAAAGGGCTGGCTGTTTTGCTGATCGTGGGGAACGATAACCTTGGATCACAAATCGTGCACAGAACACCCATGCATCATCGATCAGTTTTGCAGTGCATTGCATGATGTCATGGGCCATTGACATGTATTTTTCTTGGAAAGCAACTTGAAGCTCATAACACCATTTGTGATTCCCAAGCCCTCGCCGTTGGATGAGGTGCCTGCAGAACGATTATGGGCATGTGCTGCCAAGGCATCAGAGTCGTTGAAGTCAGGGAGGTTTGAGTTCATGAGGGTGCCAGCGTCGTCCTGGCACGCGTAGCTTCGTGTAACCCTGACCAACATCAGTTCCTTGCATGCCTGAGTGGTTGACATGCACCATGAAATCCAAAAACCCATTGCATGCATGCAACAGCTAGCCTGAATCTCGAGGGAGCCAGTCTGTGTACTTTCCTCGATGTCAGTGCTGGTCATGTTCCAGCTCTCGTGGGCCAGAATTGAAATTTCCTCTTCCCCATGGATCTTGTTGACACGGATTCGATTGTTTGA